TTTTTTGTTGTTTTAGGATCGCAACGTGCGTGTGTACAGTGCAGCACATGGCCGACATACGAAGACTTTCAGAGGCACTGTAGCTGAAGACGGTACGCTGATAAAAGTACGTATCCACAGAAAATAACTCGTATACACAACCTAATACCATCCGGTGCCTGCCTAGTCAAATGGCAAGACGGAGTCCCCGAACTGAAAATTTTTCCCTAGTGCAGGGCCATGTAACTGCCTCCGTGGCCGAAATGTTACAATGCCGGACTGCCACGCAGAGGTTCTAAGTAAGCCGTACCTGACGCCATACCAACTAAGCCACGGAACGAACCAGCGAACCTTGTGAAATTTTCTAGAGATCTTTGTTTTTGGTTTTTAACGACTTTTTACGCCGTAGCGCCATCTGTGAGAAATTTATGTCTTCACTCAGAGAGGTACCTTTGCCTCTACCATCGCTGGCTAGAGATGTTGCTTTAATAATTTATTTTTCAAGTTTTCATAGAATGTCGCGATGTTTTACTATCATGATACTCCATTATCTTTTTCTGAAGCTGCTCCACTAGTTTGTTAGAATTATTAATAAGAAAGATAATATAAAATTTTCATAATTTCAGGTGGCCCTCGACAACAGTGGTATCTACTTGGCGACTTCAAGCACGGACAAAATATTAAGCGTGTACGATTATTATTCGGGCGAATGCATGGCCACGATGTATGGACACTCGGAAATCGTCACTGGCCTTAGGTAAGAGTTTAATTATTAACCCAATCCTTTTTTGATACCCTGACGTAAAAATGAGTGAATAACTGTAGTGCGTTTCAATCCAAGAAAACAATAAACAGGTTACTGACCCGACCTTGGACAGTTTAGTGATGGCCAGTTGTACTGCCAATTACAAATCAAATTTATTAATTGAAGTAATTTATTTGTATACTTGACAGATAGTCGTGCAGTTTTAAAGTGTCGTGACTTGTATATTTAAATGAAGTTGTTCACACATAGAACAACACGATTAACTGTCTTTTACGACTTTTTTGACGTTATGACGACAGACTGTCGTGGGAAGAGCTAGAACGACAGTCGTCTAACGATAAATAAAATGTCACGATAAAAATGTGACGACAGATAATCGCAGCTTTAAACGATTCTGTCGTGCAAACGATAAGGCGGCTGCCGTGAACCGATAAATTGTCGTCACGATCTAGTGGAAACAGCTAGACACGACAGTCGTTCAAAGATAAAATAGACGTCCCCGACACAGTCACGATAGATAGTCGTGATATGGCAACAGGCTAGACGCGACAGTTGTTTAAAGATAAATAAAACGTTGCGACACAATGGGAACGCGCCCTTCGTTGGAATAACAGTTCTTTTTGCAATTTGCTGTTGGATACTAACAAAAAATATGTGATTCCGAAAATATGAGGTCCGCGCTAAAAAGTGTCCGAACTCATAGGGCGTTAAAATCGTATACAGAGTGTCATTCACGCTTTAGTCTTCGTTTGTTCGACTGACAGCGAAGCAAGCGAAATTAGACAGTACTGCGATGACATTACAATTTAAATTCAACGTTTTAGCTTTTTCATATTCCTTTACATGTCACTACGTTTAAATAGGTTGACTTGGGACATTTTTTTCGTGGTTTTTGTATTAGACCCGTCGTCCATTTATTTGTAAGTCAATGGATTCGACACTTAGAGTCGTATTCTAGAACTCTACTCAATGCTCAAGTCAGGATTTGAGTATGGTTTAAAGCACTCGAAATCATACTCAAGTCCCTGCCATTAGGGTCGTATTTCCAGTGCTTGTGTTTCCAGTGCAATCCTGAGTTGAGCATTGAGTAGAGTTCTAGAATACGACCCTGAGTGATGATATTTTCATACATAGAATTAGTACATGGTATACTTACGCTACTAGTGGTTTTTCTTACATGACTAATGAAAGTAAATTTAAAATATCCAAAACCTTAATTATAAATCTTCCTTCAAATCTCCACTTCAAACCTTACACTTAGATACTTGTGCGGTTGTGATTTGAAATATTCTATTTTCTAATCGATTACAAAAACTTTAATTAAACGAAACGAATGATTTTTTTTCTTACAGCACTGTGTAACCATGGACTATCCATACTTCTACATTTGAAAAATAATCTCACTTTTAACCGACTTCAAAAATGGAGGAGGTTTTCAATTTGACTGTATGTTTTTGTACATATATTACGCGATAAATCATTTGTGAACCGATTTTGAAGATTCTTTTTTTTTGTTGGAAAGAGGTTACCTCGCTATTGATCTCTTTTACATTTCAAGAAAATATTTCACCTCTAAGGGTGGTGAACTAGAGGATTAATCCGGTTTTGCTCGCTTTCCGGTAACCGATTTCAATGAAACTTGACCAGTAGATAAACATTTTTCAAATACGATTTCAAGATGTTATTCAAATTAATATTGTTGGAAAAATTGATGAGATATCTAGTCGAAATCTTCAAAATATACGTGAAAACACTTTCTTTTATTGGTATGTACAAAAGAAAATGTAGGATTTCCAGGGGATGCCTTCTCTGGTCAGAGGTTTAGTCTGAGGTGTAGTCATCCCTCTATGATGGATGCCACAAGTGGTTAATTAGAGATGTTTGTGCCCAGGTTCACCCCGGACTGCCAGCACCTGATCTCTGCGTCGGGCGACGGCTGTATCTTCGTCTGGCGCGTGCCGCACGACATGGTGGTCACCATGAGGGCGCGCCTGGCGCAGCAGGCCATTCGCCAGGGGAAGTGAGTCCTCCTGTTTTCATCACCCCTCTCTACATCGAGTATATAACCAGAAATAGAGACGAAATGTAATTTAATATTTGTTTGGAAACTATTCTGCCATATCATTACAATGCCAACTGCGCTCCGATTGGCTAGCCCGAATTCGAAACAATTGACGGGTGTCGTAAATTGTTTCACTTCAAAACGACCAGTTAACTTGAGCTTTGCTATAATGGACGAAAATTGCAAAATTACGTATTTAATATTTAATTTTGTACTTAGATGTTTTGCTGTTTTTCCCCACACCACCGAATGGAACAGCACGCCATTGTTAGAGATATTATCTTTATTACTATAAATAAAGAATATTTTTGGAATATACGGAGACTTACACACAGGTCAGTTGTTGGCGCTGTACTGTTTCAGTGCAAACGAGAGTTTATATTCATAAGTGATGTATCACTGATCAGTTACCAGGAATGTATGGCTCTTATTTCGTTTCAATTTCTGGTTATACAGGGTATAAATTTGAGACTGGGCCAGCTACCTTAATCGTTGTAGTTACAGGAAAACGGTTCTAAAAGACTAACCATGAATTTTGAAGATATTTTGATTGGCATTCACAGATTTTGAAAAAATGGTACAGTCAGCAAGATAAAAGGCAATTTTTACAAATCTTTTTTTTTTATGCCATTCGATCTGGTCTATTGATCCTTAAATAGTCTCTATGGGACCAACTGAGGTAAGAGTACTCGAAATGGCAAAAATAGCAAAAAATCTTTTACCACATATTTGAAATGAAAAGTTTTTGTTAGAAACGAAACTGACCACTACTCTACAATTAAGACTTAAGTAAAACCAAATTACAATCATATCACTATTTTTTAAATTTGAAACAGCTTTGTTTTGTTAATAGAGAATTGCCACTTTTAAGACGATTTTTAATCAAAATGTTCTCAAGTGTGGAAACAAATGAATTGGAATACACGGTCCTATCAAATGGCCACCGCGCAGTCCTGATCTGACGCCCGTTGATTTTTTCTTCGGGGCTTAGTAAAAAATTAAATTACATATAAAACTAAATACAATAGTGTTCAAGAATTGAAAGAAGCACTTACAGCAATTTTCAATAAAATCCAGAGTAGATTTTAGCCGCTACTTGCGGAAGAGAGTGAATCGTTGCATCCGACAAGGCAATTACTTCGAGCACTTACTATCATAGACTTTATATGTAATCTTGCTTTTCGTTATTGTTTTTATTTTGAAATACATAATACGTTGTCAATTTCTTAGTTTCCTTAACTACCTAGAATAACTGATTACTAAATAGGTCCCTACAAAATGTATGGTAAAAAGATCTTTGCGATTTCTGACATTTAGAGTACTCTTATCTCAGTTGGTCCCATAGAGACTATTGATCCTTACCAGAGACCGAATAGAATCGCATAAAAAAGTTTTGTAAAAATTGCCTTTTATCTTGCTGACTATACCATTTTTTCAAAATATGTGAATGCCAATCAAAATATCTTCAAAATTCGTGGATAGTCTTCTAGAACCGTTTTCCTGTAACTACAACGATTAAGGTAGCTGGCCTTGCTGCTCCGTCTCAAATTTGTGTATTGTATACTCGATGGGTCTATATTTAAGTCCCTGAACACAAGTTGGCCGATGTAGAGCCAAGATAGTGAATTGGGGATATATCAATCCGATTCAAAACCATTGCACTTGCGGATACCCCACACAAAGTATGATTCACCTGTTCTTGTGCTAATAGCAACAGAAAGGGGCAAAAGTGGCTGCTTATTGGACCAAAGAAATTTAACATCGGTTTAATCCAGCAGGCTTAGCATGAGCCCGAAGACAAAAGTTATCTCTTCCTCGAACTATCAATTTTCTCTCGAAAATCTCGAGATTTCGATAGAAGAAGAGATAACCTTTGTCGTGCTTTGCTTTTTGACAAAACTCGCACTGATCTTGACTTTTACACAAGTTATAGTTATCTCAATACCTAGGTAAAAGATGATTGTTACGTTCGTATATCAAAATGGTTGTTTCTTTTTATGTTTGTTTTCACTATCAATTTAAATTTCTGTTTTGTGTCTGTTGTTTTGTCTTTAGATAGAAAAGGAAATAACTTTGATATACCTATCTATGTTATTAGTTTTGTCTTTGAATCGATAAGATAAAAGGAGGACCTTTTCATAAATTCGCACAATGCCAACCACTGAACCTGAGTAGATTATACCAGCTAATGCAGCCGGTTTTGAAGGGTCAGGGTGGTGTTGAAAATACAGGCACATGGAACTTGTCAACTTATGACTTAGCGTGTCGGGCGCAGTGGCAGTGCCGCAATTGTTATGGACAGACGTGTAGCTTACTTGCGCTTGCGGCACACGACTTGTTCGTCCCGTCACTTGATATTATAAAAAAAGTATACCATAATCTTCTGCGCATCCCTCCAAATTTGTTTGAACGACAGACGCCTGCGTAGAGTTTAATTTTAATTGTATATTACAATTAACAACTTATAAACCCCCTAAGTAGAGAGCAGTGGTCACAATTATTTTAATAATTCGCCATCTTGTGTCCAGGAAAGCACCGTCTACAAACGGCATGTCAGGTCTTGACAGCGAATCGGATTCTCACTTTGGTTCGCCGCCACGAGAAATACCCGACGATACCAAATCTTTGACACCTGTTGGACCTGATTATACGTGAGTTTTTAATTTTCTTCTATTTAGAATAGAATACGTTTATTTGCCAGAATACAATAATTCTACAACACACGTTGAAGCAGTTTTTCTTATAAATCACTCTATGGCAATGAGGTTGGTACAAAAGATTCATAATTTTTGCTCTAGTCTGCCTTTGATTAATTTCTCCTCGTCTTTTGAAATATTGAGGATTAGTTTTGACAAATACATAGATATCCCTAATGTACATGCAAAGGCAGAATGTTTTGTTTTTTGAATAACGGTTTAAGAGCTAATTTTGTGTGGTTTTTTCTTCCCTTCTGGTTTTTTGTACCTCCTTTTAAGACTTCACATAACTACAAAAACTACAGACCGCTAACACAAAAAATAGCAACACTGTTGCGAAAAGTAAAATACATTAATTATACTGACACTATGCCAGCATACAAATTATAGTATTTTGTTTAAGGACGGTAAATAAGAAATTACTAACGAGGGTCAATTAGAAGCCCGAAGCTAAAGTCTGAGGGTTTTACTAATTCGAGTTTTGTATTTTTTTACTGTCCGTGATACATACAATGTTTTTCATCACATTTGCGAGGAAATAAATACAATATGAATATGATTCACAACAAAACAAGTATGGATTTGGTAAATTGCGGGAATATGTTTTTTTCTTTTGTTTTAATTCTTCTATGGATAATACAATTCCAACTAAAATGTCGTAAAAAGCAAACAAGCATGCTGCCATGATGGGCTGTAAAAAAAATTGCTAAGCTTTTAAGCAGAAAATAATAAAAATCAATTATAAGAAATTCTTAATAATAAGTATTTAAGTAAAATGTGGCTGAATAGCAATTAAATTTCTGTTTAGATAACATTTTAAGCGAATGTTTTAATTTTGAACTTAAGTAACCTCCTTGCTTGAACTTGAACCTGACCTATGTAAGGAAGTATGTCGTGTTATAAATTAAAAAATCTCCTTACCAACCATGGAAAGAAAGAAGGGCCCAGGGTTTTATTTGGGGCATTACAGTTAAGTTAGCCACCATGCAATCATACCATTTACGAGGAAGTGTGATGAAAAATAAGTAAATTTATTTCTGCCGCCAAGGAATGACGAAAACGTTTATGCGTTCTGGTTTTGAAGGGTTAAAGGTGCTGGTGAAATTATAGGCGCATTGTGTTTTCAAATGTATGTCTCAAGGTGACGGGTACAGTGGCACCCAGATCTTTGGGATTTAAAACTCTGAGCGGCACTACAATTATGACAAGCGTGTCGCTTACCACCAGGCGCACGATTTGTTCGTCCCGTCACTTTGTATTATAAAAAAAGTTAGCTAATTATTATGTCTGACAACACCATTCATCAATATACAAATAAATACTTTGAATCTACAAACTAAAAATATTTGAATATTCTAGTAGAGTAGAACTGCAGTACAGCTGGGTTTGCGCAAGTCCAGCTCTATTGTTTGCTCTGTTTATTATCGACAGGCTGCGCATAGGCCTGCTGCCGTCGTGGGCGAAGAAAAGCCTCGGCGACACGCTGGCGCCACCCGACACGACGGCGCCCGACCCGCCCGCCAGGGGCAAGTGGGCCACCAGGATACAGCCGGCACCGGGTATGTCCCTTTATTCGATCAACCGACCGTACGTCGCGGATATTTTGGGTCACTTTCACAATAAAGCATTTGGGATTAGATTAATATAAATATTATTACATTTAAGCAATAACTTCTATAGTAAATCTCCTGTCGATATTCCAAATTTTACATTTACGAGGTTTATCGAGGTCCCAGGTTCGATTCCCGGGCTGGGAGAAATATTTGTATGGCCTACATTTATTTCTCTCGTGAGTTTGGGTGTAATTTGTGGTTGTCTATGTGTGTGTCCATGGCACCCGCGACACAGGGTTTCCCTAGTGCGGGGCTATGTTGAGTGTGAGCGTTATTATTATATTATTATTATTATAATTCTGCTGCCGTTAGTTGAAAGGGCTTGTAACAAAAACTTAAAATCGAGAAAATAATGTTTGAAGAAATGAGATTAAAAAATATCTACTTTTCTTTTGCGGTAACATCATACCTTATCCACGTATACAGTATACACAAACAGGTCCTCGATATACACAGGTTATAAAGACGTTATAAGAATGCATTATGTTACGAGATGTTACAGAATGCATTTTGTTAGAGGCATTACAAGGCTTTCTTGTCCATGTAATTTCAGTTCTATTTGCCCCAAATTTTTCAGTCAGGCTTAAATAGAAAAAAAAATGTAGTAGATAACCGACTTGTTGCCGTTCCGTCAATACACGGGGCGCGGTGCGGTATAGTACCTTTCTCGTTACTTTTTTCTTCACTGCTTTGGTAAAAGATTAGTTATCTACTGCTTTTTTTTACTTCAAAATGTAACTTCGACTTCCTAGGTCAGTGGCTTTGACTTACGATGCAGTAGAACCATTTCCGTAAGGCTGAATTCGAAAAAGTAATTGATTAATATATTTTGGAGATTTTGACAAATGTATGTCGCTCCTTGTAGCTATATGTATACATGTGTCTATGTATAAGGAACACCTTTTTCCGGCCATTGGTGCTCACGAAAGCAGAGCGAGAGCTGGGGCTTATGTTTGAAATGTTTGTTTTTAGAAAAACGTGTCGATTCCGATGGGTCCAAGGACAGTTCTTTGGACAGTGGTACAGATACAAGGTACATCGAGAAACGGAGAGAACAAACTACTAAACAGGTATGTATTATATAAAATGTATACGTGTTTAAAAGGGAAATAATTGGGTCTTGTGTATAGTTTGTGAATACTGTTTCTGTTTATTTGGAAAACGGATTTACTTCAAAACAATGTCTAAATTTAAAAATTCTATCGGTGTTACTCCATTCCCAAGTTTAATATAAACTAATTGCCAAGTATAAAAATATTCGTCGATGCGTGCAAACAATAATTAATTTTAATTTAGGTTTAGTACGTTCCGATATGAGTAAGACAGGAAAACTTTAGTTCTTGCACATTTTTACAATGGTAAACTCCCATAGAAATTTTGTTGGCGTAATTTGTATGCCTCTGTTTATGAAAAACATGTGAAAATGTAGAGTTGAAATTCCTGAACCAATTTTGTTTTGGGTTTACTATTCTGAGAAGACTGGAATTAAATATATTCCAGTTTGAAATTTTGGAGGTAATGTGTTACGTAATTGAATAAAATATATTCGATGAGATTCGATTATATTAAAATAAACTTCAGAAGCCTTAAACACAGTTAATAGAAGCTGAATGGTGCCATGGGTTTATGACCTGACGAAAGTTCAGAGGAAATGATTTTTTTTACTGGTATGGTCAAAAGACATAAAGTTAAGCCATAACAAAAAAATTGAGTTAATTAATACATACCACAGAGCTCATATTTGTTATCGGTTTCGGATACAACAGTTTGACGTTCGATTCGGGTGTTGTGAATAAGGGTCGAAACACAAAACTGAGATGAGACGGCGCGTCACAGAAATCTACGAGCTCGCACGCGTCGCAAGAATTTGCGAATTGCTCCGCATCGCGCATTCCTGCGATGTTAATCTTGTTTGTGTTTTATTCCTATACTTTCTTATAATACCAGCAGTGCAACACTCTTCGCTTGTCGCTACCTTTTTTTATAAAATACGTTCAGTACGGTTGACGATCATCGAAGGAATGGTTACCGAAACCGTGGCAGTGAGATGCCTTGCCGCACGTAATCATCGCAGCAATTCGCGTCGCAGTTTTTTTGCGTCGCAGTTTTTTTGTGTTGCGAATTCGTGTCGCGATTCGTAGTTATGTGTTTCGACCCTAAAAATGAAAAGAAATCGTACGATGTCAAATCGAATCGGTCGACGACTGAGTTATCGTAAGGTTCTGAATCGACCCCCTGGCCCTAAAGAATAAAATGTTTTCTCGTTCATTGTTGTTATTACGTCATGTTTGGAGAATCTCCAACTCCTAACATCCTTATTATGTCATGTTTGGAGAATCTCCAACTCGTAACATCCTTATTATGTCATGTTTGGAGAATCTCCAACTCCTAACATCCTTATTATGTCATGTTTGGAGAATCTCCAACTCTTAACATCCTTATTATGTCATGTTTGGAGAATCTCCAACTCCTAACATCCTTATTATGTCATGTTTGGAGAATCTCCAACTCCTAACACCCTTATTATGTCATGTTTGGAGAATCTCCAACTACTAACATCCTCCTATGTCTTTAACCTAGTTTACGGGTTGAAAACTTATATTTTAACTTTAATTGTGTTGTGTAGTCCATTGTTTAACTAATGGTGTAACATGTTTTTGTGTATGTACGAAGTAAATAAATTTGATTTGTTTTTGTTTAGTTTATAGGAACTACTCCATAACAGGAACACGTGGACCATTTTGGACTAAAATGAATCTTCGTGTATAATTTATTATTTTATTTGATAGTCTGTCTATACTATGTAATGCTATGTCAATAATTAAAAGTTAAGAATGTAATTTAGACATTGTTTTGTAATTATTTTTATGGTCTGAGGGATAAATAATGTTGTTGAAATGTATTTTTTGTGTCAAATTTTTTACTGTCAATAATCCATTTCGGTTTTGGGTTTTCTTTCTCTGTGGTTTCTGGTTTTACATTGGTGACGGTTTTAAAAAAAAAATCTTTTCCCAGGGACCCTTTTTCCTGTCACGCGGGTATTGCTCCGCATTCGTTTTGGTGCTTAATTAAAGAATTTGATAAATATCTGTTGTGCGTGGGTTGGACTTTCGCGGCCCTTATTGGGATACTCGTTACAATAACTAAGCATACATTAACTGTACCAGCGCGACAGTCAAGCTATATGACCGTACGCGCCGAATACGAGCAAGTTGGGTGGTTCGTTTTAAGAAGAGAGGTAGAAGTGGACTGTAGGCGAAAGGGATGTCTGGAGAGGGACGGATCAGTAGGTAAATGGAGTGCTGAACGACTGAACTATGCTACACTGACCCTGGGTGGTTTTCGTGTTCGTACGTTTTTAGTAGCAGTAGAGTTCCTTGTGAAAGAGTTCGTCCAGGGAAGTACTGCCACCTTAGGTATTTCGGCCGCCAAGCAGTAGACGTGACGCTTAAGTAGCTTACCATCAGACGCACGACTTGTTCGCCCCGTCACTTAACAATCATAATCAGTACCGAGTACGCGAAAACGGATTCATCCTCTAATTTGCCACCCTTAGAGGTGTAATATTGTCCTCAAATTTAAACGGGACCAAAGGATCATCGAAATCGGTTCTCAATATCCGGAGTTATCGCGTAAAATACGGACAAAAAAATGTGGTCGAATTGAAAACCATTTGCCTGGAAAAAGGCTATTAAAATTGCAGATATCATTCCTGTCAAGGAAGGAATAATACTATCGATTTCTAGATTTATTTCGCTCTTGTATAAATCTGTTGTTATTTATTATCTGTGTTTTTCCGCGGACGGCCACGTCACCAAACGCATCTCGTGTCTAAACACCACGATTGACAATAAAAGTGTGTACAAAAACTTTGAATACGGTCAATACGCCGAAATGATATGAGTACCAATTAGGAAGCAATATCCGATTGACAGGAATGTAACTTCACACTTAACTATGCAACTTTTAACTAAACATTTATTTTATTTATTTTTTGTAACATTTTATGGATTTTATTGTAATACACCAGAGGCCGAGGTCTCTCAACCTTGCGCAGCTCCCGCGCGTCGAGGCGCTGTTCCGCAATTTTGACGCAACTTTGAAACAAACATACGACATACTTTCAATTTCTCCTAGAGTCGAGAAGGTTTATTTCTTTTATTTGCATCACTTTTATTTTTGCTTGTTTATTGTTAAGCTTTTCGTATCAATTTGCGACGCCATCTTGTTTTCATGGCAGCCATTTTGTGATTTGTAGCTATACTGTTTTTGTATTCGTCTCGAGCTACTTTGTGTTTTATGACAGCCATTTTGCTTTTTTAAAGCTGCATGTCATGAGTAAAAAAATAACAGTTAATTACTACACAATGTTAATTACTACGTAATTCTAGTATAAACCGATCTCGTCAAATCTAGTCTCAGCTTATACTGGATCTTATTATCGACTCTGGCAGTGCGGACTTATGAATTACATAAGACTGGTACATGGTTATTTTTGCATATATACAGGGTGTAAACATTGAGTGTTATCGTGCTAGTATTATATATAGCACTTTATAGAGACAAAGAAGAACACCAAACCTATATTGTTCAATGGATAGCTCAATGTAATCAAGATTGATTTATGCATTTGTATCAAAAAGGAAATAGAATACTCTGTACAATAGAATACAACTGTCGCTCATACCATGTGTTCAATTTTGGGAATTCTACTGCTATGTGTAGAATTCCCAGTATGTGTATATATCGAGATAACGACAGCTGGATCTAATGGGAATTGAAAAACAGTATAGACCCACTGCTAATACTGGCCACTTAGCACTGAGAAGACAAAACAGAATGAGAAAATCTATACTATATTTATATTGAATATATGAGAAGATGATATGATTTGCTTTTCGAGTTTATTTATTTACATATTTTACATACTTACATTATTTATTTACTTTCTTACACGGCCAATCAAAGAGTAGGCTTCTTCTGTATATTAAACGAAATTTACAAACAACTTTTTTAAAGGTTTGGACACAAATTCTAACACCCTGTATATGACTCATGTTATGTTGTAATGTGTATGCCTTCACGTGAATGTACGCTTTTAAATCATACAATAATCATCTTGAGCATGCTTTTTTACCATCAAATTCACTAGCGCGTAGTAATATTAGTTATTTCTTTTGTAAATGTTGTACGGTGGATCACGGGTATACAGTCCCCTCCTGATTAATTGTCGTAATCGGCGATTTGTTATGGTCATTTTTCGTTTTTAAATTTAAATTAATTAAGCAGTGGTTTGACCTAATGCAGAGGCCGTGGGCTTGTCAACTTATGTCTCAGGGTGACGGGCACAGTGGCAGTGCACCTAAGACCTTTGCGATTTAAAGCTCTGAGTGGCACTGCAACTGTTATGGACAGGCGTGTAGCTTACCATCAGGGGTATGACTTGTTAGTCCCGTGGATATGGATTATATAGACAAAGGCTTGAAATTAATAAGTAATAACTGAGATAATAAGTGAGAATGTTTTCGATTTCAAAAATTCTGAAAGATCGCTTGTTTAATTTAAATTCAAAATGTTTATTATCGGACAACAGGGTCCATTGGTATTAGTAAAATAGAGAAAAGACTTGTAAACTATTTGTAGGAAATTAATATATTACTAAACATATATTACAAAATATATTACATAAAATCTAAAATGTCAAGTCCTTACGAGGCATCTCGTGCGGAAATAATTAAGTTACGAGTACGACAAAAATATCAGATACGGCGCTTAGTAAGGAGAGGCGTTATCTGTTTACAAACAATCCCATTAAAAATTGAACGCAGAGCTTAAATTTGCAATTTCCAAATGTGACACTAGTGCACTTCCGTATACCACCGTACATTGCCGTAGTTAATTTCAAATCCGACCAAAAATAAAAAAAATCTGTGCCATATTGCTGAATATTATAACTATTTTATATAATAATAACTATTTTCTCTTGCGAACAAGACATGCAAAGCAAATTTTCTATTATTTCTGGTCAGGTTTTGAGACACTTAATAAATAAAAGAACATATTCCTTATTGGCACATTTTATTATTTTTAATTTTTGTTTTTTTTTTTACCAACTTAGGTGACAATAAATCTGTCAAAAACTGGCTTGTCAGATGGACGGACACGGCATCACACTGACGACTCTTCGTTGGGAAGTTTTAAATACGAGGTTATTTTATTGCTTTTTTGTTTTTCTTTTCAGCCACTGATTTTTATACTGCTTGTTACCTTGTTTATACCTTGCGTTCAGATTGAGTTGTTAAATTTTATTTTTAAACTCGTTCGCCATGTTTTTTTTGAAGTCATATCGGTGCTGCTCAATCTAAAATTGACCCTTTTTTGACTTATCATTGTGATTGGGTTCCAGACTTTTAATTGATTAGAACAATGAAATGTCAACATTGGGATGATCTACGATTCGTCAACATAGAGCGGCTGACGCTTCTCAGTTTTTTTAAGCGATCTCTATGATGAATCAGATGCTTTTGCGCTAGGCCACTATTCTAGAAAACCATCGATATGCAGATATCGGATTGAGATGGGTATATCTACCTAAAAGACTTGTACCGAATTAGGTTTACCTATTAACTTACCTTACCTATTTCTGCCGTCAAGCAGTAATGTCAGCATTACTGTGTTCCGGTTTTGAAGGGTAAGGGTGCTGGTAAAATTACAACTGATGGGACTTGTCAACTTATGTCTCAGGGTGACGGGCACAGTGGGAGTGCCCCTAAGACCTTTGCGATTTAAAGCTCTGAGTGACACTGTAATTGTCATGTACAGGCGTGTAGCTTACAAAAAATTTATAAAAAAAAAGGATGGAGGTTGATACTTTATTCTTAGACCAACCAGACTCAACTTTTTTCCAAGATATAAGCTTGAAATGAAGAGTTTAGCAGAATAATAATAAAAAAATTGTGACCTGCATTTTTATTGATTTTTAAACAAAAGCGTGGTAGACATGTTTAAATTCAAAAAGCACCAACACTTAAATGCTAGATAATCAAAAACTTGATTACAATTCGTTAATTTGATTGGAGCATTAATGACATTGACATCTGATCTGTGATATATTTTTCATGGCATTAGCCACTAGCCCATTAGCCAAAAATTTGCATAAAAATCCGTCCCGTCTAGTGGGTTTCCGTTTCGTTTTACGTTACATAGTATTAAGAATCCTTAAGAATTTTCTGGAAATTGCAGGTAAAAAAAAAAATTGTTTTTAATTCAACATTTCTAGATTTTGAAAGCTCTTTACAAGAAAACAACTGTCAGCCCCGTTAAATTTTCCATTTATTTTAGTACCACTAACGGAACAATTCTTTTAAAGTATTCTTCTTATCGTATTGATGGCATACACAATAATGCTTGGCATGGTGGTGAGAGGGTTTGCCAATTGCCCCGGTACTAGCCGATTGTTGCTCAGTTTGCGCCACGCGTACAAGAAAGGGACGGTCGGTCGTACGGTGAGGTTCTTTTCGAGCACACCATTAAACCACAGAACAAAAAGTAACGAGAGTAGCTTTGGATTTAGATAGCGCACCACGCCCCGCACATTGAACGACAACAAGGCTTATAATGGTCAGCTCCAATCGGTTTGAGTGAGCATGAGACTTGTTGAGCGTGAGTTCCGGTTGACCCGATGCTGCGTGTAAAATTTATGAGCAAGAAGATAAAAGGGCGCCTTACACACAACTAAAACAAGTTTCAATTAGAAATAACCAGATGTTTTAAGTTTAAAGCAATAAAAAGTATGTACTTTAAGATTATTATAAAGTTACATTACAAAGTACTAAGATTTAAAATTTCCCGAGGTTACATTTCGGCGTGCCGTTTTCGCGCCAAGACGGCTTTATGTATTATTTGAATATAGTTTTCATTTATTAATTACGAAACTTGTACGTTAATATATAACATCATTTACTATTTATAATGGTCGTGAATTGTGTTGTATACGGCTGTTTATCATCATTTAAACGGGATTAAGATTATATTAATAGAATTCTATTAGACGTAGATAACAGATTCATATTCGCATAGCGAAAATTCCGAAAATTCTAATGAATTTTCGCTATGCTGCCGCTCTGACCACGTAATGACCACCTGACTAGATATGGGCGTTTAAATGAAAAACACTTAAAAAATTCTGCTTTTTAAAATAAGCGCATAAGCACGTTTTTCATTTTATTATTTCGTCAGTTCTATAGATACTCAATAATTCCCATTTTTACAACGTGCCTAAGTCTCAAGTAGCGCCATCTATGTTTCCTAAACAAATTAATTCAACATAACGTTGCAAGCTTTTTTAAACATAAAGTCTATGCGCTTAAACGTTTTTCTAAACGACTTTTTAATCGTCAAACTAAACAGCGTTTAAGTGAAAAGCGCTTTTACAAGCACGCTTTTTAAACGTAAGTTTTAACGTTAAAAAAATAAGCAGTTTCCATTTCAACGGTTAACAACTACTAAAAGTTAAACAACTTATGTTTTTAAACGCTTTTAAACGCCAATGAACAAAATGTTAATATAATAATGTTATGCATTGACTTACAATTATATGGACGTCGGGTCTGCGCTAAAAAGTGTCCGAACTTATAGGGCGTTAAAATAGTATACAGAGCGTCATTCACGCTTTAGTCTTCGTTTGTTCGCCTGACAGCGAAGCAAGCAAAATTAGACAGTACTGCGATGACATTACAATTTAAATTCAACGTTTTAGCTTTTTCATATTCCTTTACATGTCACTACGTTTAAATAGGTTGACTTAGGACATTTTTTTCGTGGTTTTTGTATTAGACCCGTCGTCCATTTATTTGTAAGTCAATTATGTTATGTCATAAATAAAAATATAACTCTTTCTTTTTTTACAAAAAGACTTACTTATCTTAAAACCTTCAGTGGTCTACTCTTGCGTTTCGCTATCAACACAACAACGTTGCAAGCTTTTTTTTAACATAAAAGTCTAAACGTTTTCTAAACGATTTTGTTAGCATCAAACTAAAAAGCGTTTCAAAAAGCACGCTGTTTTTAAAAAAGCATAACGTTTAAACGTTAACAAAAATAAGCAATTTTTCCCATCTCTACACCTGACCTTGCTGTATGTAGTAGTAGTAGTACTTAAATAACTTTCGACGGTTGTATGGAGTGTCCGGGGTGTGAACTACACTTAAAGTAATATACATATGACAATTCATTCCATACTCGTGAAGTAAGGCGGAAATCTGTGGTACCTGAAACTCAAAGTGCATGGACATTGAAATTTTTGCTATCATTTTGACAACTTCGATGGCCCAACTGTTTGCACTGTGGACGCGGATGAATAGATCCCGGGTTCGATTCCTGGTAGGACCTCTGGGAAATGACCTTTTCTGAATTGGTTCTTGTCGGGGTGTTCGGTTTAGTGCCCGTTGCTCTTTTACTCATTGCACTAGGAAACCAGGTTGTCTGGTACATTATTATTATATATATTTTTGGAACACCCTGTATAAGGTTTATTAACAACATTTTTTTTACAGGACCAAGAATCGACAGAACACGATGGTGACATTGAAGACATATCCGACGGGGAACGAACATCGTCGTCTGAAAGAGGCAACCGACCTACTTACTATCCAGGAAATAACGATGACCACACACACGGGTGAGTTTAGGTTCTATCTGAAAAATCTAAAATGATGAAATTAATGTCGTTTTATTAACATTATTAAGTTGTACTCCAATAATTTACAGGTAGCGTTTATTTATTGCATCAATACCGTGTATTGCAATTTACATCTGTATTTCCTTGCATCGTCCAACTTGCATTTACATTCTGCAGCGCAGCGTATGCTAAAGGCATCAAGACATCTACTTTGTTATAATTATTAATAAACCAAACACTAAGAAAAAATCTTTCGATCCGCCTGGATTCGAACCACCGTCTTCTAGCAAATCGAGCTTGACGCTACGCCAACTAAACCACGGAAAGAACCAACGGACCTTAAAAATTTTTCTATATGCTTGTTGCAGATCCTTGTTTTTGGTTTTTAACGACTTTTTTACCATAACGCCACCTTTTCAGCTACATTTTTATCTAATTATATTCATTTACAGCGAATTCATGGTGAACGCAATGGACGCAGAGGAGCTGCGGCAATCGATTCGTCGCTCGAAAAGATGGAAGAACGAATCGCCAAGATTGGAACTACCTCTCACCGCTGGCACCTCGCTCAGCGGGTCGGGACATGATTCTGACGATGACGAGGTACTGATGCTCATTGTCTTTGGCATTTGACACTTTTGTTCAAAATTTTCACCCATGGGCGCTGTGCGTTTATTTAAATTCATCTTTATTTCATAATTAAATAAATTACACTTCAAATTGTCATATTAACTTATGGACTATATAACCAGAAAGAGAGACGAAATAAGGGTCATACATTCTTGGTAACTCATCAGTGATACATCACTTATAAATATCAACTCTCGTTTGCGCTGAAATATTGACAGCGCCAACTACTGACCTGTGTGTACGTCTTCGTATATTCCAAGAATATTCTGTATTTAGTGTAATAAAGATAATGTCTCTGACAATGGGGGGCTGTTCCATTCGGTAGTGTGGGGAAAACAGTAAAACATCTAATTACAAAACAAACGGAATCACATTTCATCGGTAATTAAATATTAGATTTGTAATTTTGCAATTTTCGTACATTATAGCAAAGCTCAGGTTAATTGGTCGATTTGAAGAGAAACAATCGACGACACCCATTGTTTTGAATTGTGAAAGTAATGATATGGCAGAATAGTTTTCAAACAAATTAAATGACATTTCGTCTCTACTTCTGGTTATATACTCGATGTATTAACTAAACTCTACTGCTCATTCGTAAGGCAGATTCCCTTGAGAAAAATAAGCTACAAACTATAGGGGTTGCTCTTTGTAAATATACATTTAAATACAATATTTAAAATTTATAATATTTATTTCAAACATCTTAGATTGAGAATACCTGGAAGAGCTAAATGGCTCACTACCACGGATTTTTGTCATCCAAGTTGTATAACAAGTCTAGTATTCCGTATAACAAGTAAAATTAGAGTTATTGTAGGAAATGAAGCTGTTTGTCCGGATTTAAATCGCGTATATTTGTTTTTTCAAACAAATCAACATTTCAGCCAACCGTGACCATGGGCCCTGTACGGGGCCCGAAATGTTGCTTTGTTTCAAAAAACAAATATACGCGATTTAAATCCGGAAAAATAGTTTCATTTCTTATGTGTAAGTAACAATTGCGAAAACCTAAGAACTCGATAAGAGTTTTTTTTTCTTAAAAAATTAGTCCTATAATATTTTCCAAATGCGTTTTACCTTTCCAGCATCGAAATGTTCATTTACAAAAAGCAACCCCTAGAGTTTCTTATCCATTCTTCCATGGGAATCTGCCTTACGAATCAGTAGTAGAGTTTAAACAATTTGAAGTGTGATGAAGACATCTTCAATTTGAAATCGCAAAAAAAAACGGCCCAGATAGAATATCTAAAAGGTTTATTATACAGCTTCTGCTTTTACTAATAGGTGTCAACGCCTTCTGGTGACAATGCAGAAAGAAATCCTCTTTCTGGCTCATGCGAGAGTATCGACCATGCTGGCCGGCGCGAAATGTACATCAAATCAGCGTTCGACAGCTTAAGTGGTGCTGATATTGACAGCACTAATACCGCAAGTGAGTTTTTTTATGATTTCAAGTGATAGGACGAACAAGTCACGCGCCTGGTGGTAAGCGACACGCCTATC